TTTCACGTAACTGTCTCATTAAAATAAAATATTACATTTAGAACAAGCACCGAAAACATGTAACAAGAGGTCCCAGTTAAGTTGCTTTGGCGATTGAGTGTCATGCAACTATTAGATTTGAAAAACCACCATTTCGACTACTCATGTGTGATCAGTGTTTTGGCGAGCAGTCAATGTTTTCAATGAGCGAGCGAGCGAAAAAAAGAGCGATTAAAATGCTGTCAGTTTCCGGTCGGACAAGACCGAGCGGTCGTAAATCAAGCAATAAGCTGTGGGTGTAAAAGCGGAAAGCTGGGCGAAATGAGTACCGTAATTACATAAACTTTGTAGTATTGATATGCAAATCGGATCTTTCATCAAATGTCAATTAGGATTACTTTCATGCGAGTGTTGTGCTTGTGTTGGTGGTGTTTATAAACAATCACACATGGCAATGTTTTGAAATAGAAAAAACGTTGAAATATGCCTTTTAAAATGGAGTTTTTGTTTAGAATAAAAAGCAGTCATAGATACTGTCATAACCATCAATAATTTAAAATAAAAAAAAATATTGAAAAAAAACACATTAAACGTATGCTAACCCCTTAATTTAGATAAATTAAAATGATTCTCCCTGACATGTTTCAGTGTGCTTGCCTCGTAAGTCACTTGTTTAGTATCCCAAATACTGTAGAATACTTTATTTTCGCTTGGAATTTATTTTAGCTGAAGGAATGATTCTGTGAAAATAAAATCCAGCGAATATACTTTTTTTCCTATATTTCACATTAAACTCATCAAAAATCAGTGAAAATAAATTCCATACAAAACGCCCAAAAAGTCTTTTCAGCAAAAATAAAGTATTCCACAGTATTCCACAAATTTTGCCTTGGTCAGTATCGGTAATACATTGTATCATTTTGAACTATTCAGGGTACTACTGGCAAAAATTAAACAAGTCTTGACTTTCATAAATTGTTGAATATATTCCATAATGTTAATATTGATTTTAATATTTTATGTTAATATATTGATCATGCAGCTGTAGTCACTAATTGCATATAATACTAATTATACTGGGATGAAAATACTGTTTTGGTGATTGATTCTCTGTTCACTTTTTATTTAAAATTCAATTATCAAGGGTATAAAAGGGTCAGGTGTACAATGCTCAGAAACAGTATTTGTTGTCAGTCTTATAATTTATCTTTTATAACCATTTAGTGCCGTTTAACAAATCAATCATTCACACCATGAATGATCTTTGAACTTTTGACAATAAAATCCAAATGTTGTTCTTTTCATAGAATTTATGACTGTTGATATTCTACATGTACATGTAATAAACTAGCTAACCATTAAGCAGAGCTTTGAGTGACGCTGCCAACTATGAGATTAAATTTCATCTAACATTATATATGTAATGTTCTGCTCGGTGTTAGTTTCATTCTGATGTATAGTTGTTTCAGGAAAAAAATAATTTAGACTTTTATTTAACAAAACGCTATTTTGACTAACAAAAGTGTTATTATAGTTTAAGTGTTTTTACCTTTTATCCATGGTTAGTTTGTTAAAGACATTAATTTTCTGTTTCCTGAGATATTTAGTGATTCCTATTTTCTTTATTTCAGCAAGCATCTCGGGCTCAGATTTTAAACAAGGCAACAGAGTACATTCAATTCATGAGGCGTAAAAACAATGCACATCAATTAGATATAGATGATCTCAAGAGGCAAAATGATACACTGGATAAACAAAGTAAGTATTGAGTTGTAATCTGAGGTCAAACCAGTCAGTACATTTATATGCATGATATTGTCTAATGTTTCTACTTATCTACTTTTATTTCCTATTGTGCTGTTCATGCACTTAATGGTACTTTCAGGGTCAGGCCGGTTTGGGGTTCAAGGTCACATTGGTGTTTTGGTTGGATCGTGGTTGCGTCGCATCTTTTCTCTGGTTTCTTCTCTTTCCTCCATCCTCATTTTTAGTCCCCGTTCGGACGGAGTCCGAAAACGGGGACTTATGTTTTGCCCTGTGTGCGTCCGTCCGTGCGTCCGTCCGTGATCACCTGTATCTCGAACATGCATGGACCTATTATGTTCAAACTTCACTCATACATCACACATTATATGGGACATATGCACATGCATTTTTTTCATGATCCGATTAACGATAGCCGAATAGCGGCCATTTTAAGGCCGAAAATGCATCAAAATCGCACATTTTCACCATTTCGGACCCGGATCTCAGTTATGCATGGACGGATTTCGTTCAAATTTGGTACACACATTAAACATAATAGGACCTTGATGCACGTCATTTTTTTTTTCGGATCAAGTTCGAAATGGCCGACTGGCGGCCATTTTGTTTTAAAGAATTCAGTTCTGGATTCGTATCCGAGACATGTCTGGATTGATCAAGTTCAAACTTCACACACACAAGGTACATCATGTCACAAATATGTATGTGCATTTGTTTCATGATCCCATTAACGATAGCCAAATGGCGGCCGCTTTAAGGCCGAAAATGCATTGAAATCGCACATTTTCACCATTCCGAACCCGGATCTCAGTTATGCATGGACGGATTTCGTTCAAATTTGGTACTTACATTAAACATAATAGGACCTTGATGCACGTCATTTTTTTTTTCCGGATCAAGTTCGAAATGGCCGACTGGCGGCCATTTTCTTAAAGAATTCAGTTCTGGATCCGTATCCAAGACATGTCTGGATTGATCAAGTTCAAACTTCACACACACATGGTGCATCATGTCACAAATAGATATGTGCATTTGTTTCATGATCTGCTTAACAATAGCTGAATGATGGCCATTTTAAGACCAAAAATGCATTAAAATCACGTATTTTCACAATTCCGGAACCAGATCTCAGTCATGCATGGATGGATTTTGTTCAGATTTAGTACAATGTGTTGTACATATGCAGGTGCATTTCGGTCATGATCTGCTTTGAATGTATATGTCACTCAAATATGAACGGAACGGGGACGTGTCATTGACAATGACTTGTTCTGTTCGGCATCTTCGAGTGTCTTCAGGTCACTACATCGCACTAATGATTTTCTTAGCATTTAAACATGGCATTGATATGGTGCTTAACTAATACATGTAATTTTGTTTACTGCGCCAGAATGATTTTCAAAATCTAAGACTTAGCAGTCTAACTTCCCTTCAGTCCCACCCGCAACTCAGACAACTTTAGAGCTTTGTGAGAATGACTTCCATTGCAGGGCTTTTGCCTCAAGCTGCTCTAAGGCTATACCTAGTTCAGACGCTAGCACTCTAAGTCCAGCGATATAACCACATAGGCATGACCAAATCTCACCAAAATGTTGTTTCTGACACAATTGCATGGACAAAGTGATCCTACACAAAGCAATACCACAAACAATTTGATGTGAAATCGCCATAATTAAAAACGATCATTTGATGGGGCAGTCGAAAATTATGATGCACACTATTATGGAAAGTAGCACTTAAAATGAAAATCATTGAGAGGCCATCAGAGTGGTATTTGACATAATTTCACCCAGGGCCCCTGGTAAGTTGTCATCTTGTACAGTAGTCCTAAGGTTCACTTTGCAAAACTGGATTTCTATAGATGGCGCCCTCTGGAGACCTGGATGTAACCCACTTTTCACTTGCAAGTGATTTAATGTACAATGTTGGTATATAGCGTATTATGCTGTGCTTCCGGTGTTCACATTACGACGATCATCATTACAAATTGATACTAATGACACAGGAAATGTTTTATTAAAAATAAAAATTGGAAAACTATTGCCGCTTTAAACAAGTCTGGTGATTAATATAGCCCTGCAATGCAACCCCAAGGAGTCAAAATACACAGATTATTAGCTAGTGCAAGTAAACTCAAAATGTAATGTGCACGCTGTGCATGTAGGAATTAACACAACATTTTATCATTATATTCACTAAGCCTAAATTAAGCTCAACCACCATTGTAAGACAACTAAAAAACATTCTTTCGTGATCGCATCAATCAAGAATCCGTAAATTTTATTTAAACTTTAAAAGTGGTGCATTTCACAACAAGTTAGTGCAGGTAAATTTCAAATTCAACATGCACACTATGCATGTAGGGAAAAAATTCTATTTCAATCCCACCTATGCAAGTTTATTAGTCCCCGTTCGGACGAAGTCCGAAAACGGGGACTTATAATTCGGTCTCCGTCCGTCCGTGCGTCCGTCCGGAGTCATATTTCAGAATCCTGTGGACCGATTCCGTTCATTCTTTGCATGTGCCTAGTACCTTGTGTGGGACATATGCACATGCAGTGGTTTAGCGATTCGATTCAAAATGGCCGACTGGCAGCCATCTTGTTTTTTGAAAATGTTGTATTTTGGGCATGCTTTGTCAGTTGTCATTCAAACTTGGTACATAGATTATACATGTTAGGATACATGTCCATGATGGATCAAAGATGGTCGACTGGCAGGCATCTTGTTTTTGTTTTTTTATGCGGTATCTTGGACGTGCTCTGTCAGTTTTCATTCAAATTTGGCACATACATGTACTTTATACATGTTAGGATGCATATCCATGACAATTTTTTTCACAATCTGGTCAAGGATGGCCGATTGACAGCCATCTGACTTTTTGGCCATACTACTATATTTCCACAATTTATGTACCATTTTCATTCGTATTTGGCACATACATCATACATATCAGTGTGTTTCATAATCAGATCAAAGATGGCTGAATAACGGCTGTTTTTATTTTGGCCATATTACTATGACACGAAACACGTGTTTTGATGTAAATAAACAATCTGTTGAAACTCAAGTTTCAAGGACACGCTCGCGACAACCCCTCCGCTTTAATATGACGAGCACAAAGAGAACTTAACAGGGACTGTCATTTTCAATGACTTGTTTTGAATAAATTCTTTTTGAGATCACCTAAAATCACCCAAGTTATGCAAATTCAGGTAATTAATATTCATGTATTTCAACCATAAACTTTGTTGCATCAGTAAATTAAAGCACAATATAAAAATATTTAGTTCCATTGAACTGTGATTGTATATCAGTAGAACAACTAAAAATTGGCTAATTCATGTAAATTGAGTAATTAATATGCATGGTTTCAACCATAAACTAGAGTACGTACTAGTAAACATGAAGTGTCATTAAAAATCTGGTTAGTGGTGATCGATATATGCATGGAAAAACTAAACATAGGCTAATTGATGTAAACTAATTAAATAAATATAAGCTATATAGCAGCAATGTCTGGGTTTTGAGCAGAATGGTTATTAACATGTGATGTACAACATTGTGGATTTCAGTGAATCTAATATGCTGAAATAATTAATGAGGTCACATGACCATATATTGTCATCTGTAGGTTAGCCATGTCGCTTTGTCTTGTGCCTTAAAATACAGCTCTGGTTGCATATCCCAGTCTGCAACAGTGTTTGAGATATTACAATTATCCGTAATAATGAGATCACAATGACCTTCATATGTTATTTGTCTGATGTCTCAATTATAGCACATGTTCATCTACATTAAGTCTCTAGATATTAGAATTACCAGCTAAGTGTTAAGCTCCCCTTGACAGTCAGAAAATGTGCTGAGGTAAAGTGTTGCCGTGAAGACTGAAACCAGGCTGAGTAGTCAGACAGCTTGCCAATGAAATCAAATGAATTTACCTATCTAAACAGTCAGATATATATTGTCCAGGATTCATTATGCAACAATGTGTCTTTTTTGATGGCTGAAACAAGCCAATTCACTAGCCACTGCTGGTTTGCCAAATCCTCATCTAGGTTTGTTGGTAGACCAAGCTAAATTGACACCATGCCAATGACGAGATCAACAAAATCACCAGTGTGAAGCACTGGTTAACACAAGGAAGTGAAAACCTAGCGACTATAGATTCTATTCTAATGACATTCATGCAAAAATTGCAAATTAGCATTCAAGCTTGGTGTCATGAAAGCATTTAATTATGAATATTTGATTAGCTGCTCTTGTGGAATTTACTTTTCCGCAAATTAACCTTTGCAAAAATAAAATTCACAGGGAAAAAAACTAATTCAAAGAATTTATATTACATGGGTCACCTATATATTTCTGATCATTGGTTTGAACCATTCAGCTCATTTGCATATTCAATTGATTGTGAATTCATTCAACTAAAATGCAACACTACTTGACTTGTATACTTTCTGTAGGATATCTGTGCAATGTAGAATAATGAAAATGATATTAATTCTTTTTCCTTCCTTTTTTTTCAGTACGTGCCTTAGAGAAAGCAAAGACACTTGGAAATTATGACCCATCATCACTAGTCGACTCAGATGGAACCCAATTATTCACCAATCATAAAGGGGGACCATTGTCAGCTTTTGATGGTGGTTCAGACTCAGATTCTGACTCATCAACTGATTCACGAACGGCTCAGGGCAGGCCGAAACGTCTCAAGACAACAACAGTCAGCAGTAAGAGTTAGTATTTGCTAACAAGAGCATGAGATGAAATTGCACAAAAGTATTAGACAAATCCTGAATGTATGCAGGGAGAGATAAAATCAAAATTATTTCAGCTGCATGAAAAACCTTCAGCACGACAATGTGTCAAAACGTTTCCAGAACAGAAGGGAAAAATTGTTTTAAAATGCAGCATTCACAATCAACAGTTGCAGCAGTCATCACCACTAATTACAACAAGATTTTGAGTTGACAACTCAGTGGGCAGATATAAATCATTCATTTTATCACTTATTTTTAAAAACTGGACACAAAAAGCCCATTCATGCAGCTCAAATGAATTTGATTGTACTGAAGATTGTTGTATGTATAGGTAGATTTTGTTTTTAATTTGATATTGATGAGGTGTAACACTTTTTTTTTAGAAAGAAATGATGTCTCGTTTAGAGGGGAGGGTTTGTCAATCAACTTTTCTGTGATGATTGGACGTCAGGAGCACATCAATGGTTCAATAAAATGACCATACATTCCCTAGTTATATATTTTTTTTTTTGTAAAACCCTATTATCAGGTGAATTTTTTTTAATTCTTGTGTTGAGAATTGTTGTAAAGACGTAATTTTATTTTAAAACACAAAATACAGCTATAAATGTATGTATTTGATTTTTTTGTGATACATCAATATTATGGCATAATTTTGTGGAGGTAAATGCAGTGGGGGGGGGGGGGGTCAACTTTAAAAATCTTTATTGCAAATATAGAGGGCAGTAATTTGCTTTGATGTATTTGGTTTACTTGCAAATAATTGCCGTGTACAGTTTCTTAAATATTTATACTAGGTTAACACAAGTAACTATTTCATTTACAGTAACTGTTTTTGTCCTTATTTTCCTTATTCTTTATGTTGTCCACGTGTATATGTGATTTGACACGTCATTGAAATGCACAGCTTGTTATAGACCTAATAATAGTTGAGAGAACAAGAAGTTTTCATTGGAGAAACACATGAGATGAAGCAGTGCTCCAATCAACTAGTCCAATCATCCATCCATACACTCCAGTTTTATCTGCAGAATTTATACAATATGTTAGTAAGCCCATATCTTGTGTAGGTTGTTGTCATGGTAACCAAATAACTCTCCAGATAGCTTGATAGGATATGTGCTTACTTTAACACAAATGTACATGTTTACAAATTCTGGAAAAAATTGTGAGCTGATTGAATTTTAAAATGTGTGGAACAATAGAGAAAGTTGTATCAACAGTTATGTAGGTTTGATTGCTTGTTTGAAGTATTGATGCTGTCTTTTTTAATCATGTCTGCCCAAGTACTGTGGTATGTTGAGGTATTTGGTATCCGTAGTGATGGGATTCATGGTGTTTTCAGTGTTGCAAGAAGACCATCTGCATCGTAGTCAATTAGCTGCTTCCTGGAATAAATTCCATTCAATCAGGATGCCAACATCATTTACCATGATTAGTATAACATCAATATATGGTAGTGTTCAAAAGAACACTGCACTATTTCAGAGTTGTTGTTAGCAGTAACCAGGATGACATAGCTTTCAGGTTATCATCATCCCCAGGTATGTCTCATTTTCAAGTGCTTATTAATATCTATAAATAATGCCTTCAAGTTCACTGAAAAAGTCAATCCAGGGTCTCTTACAACTGTCTACATGTGTGGTAAAAACTAACTACCATATCACTACAATTTGTCATTTGATCCAAGAAGTGATGTGCAGAGCTCTGGAATAACACTGCTACAAGCTGTGACAGATGTAATAGATTGTGCCAAATTTGTTTTTTAAAATGATACGTCATTCCAATAAATTTAAGATGTGTCGGAAAGAGAGGAGGTGCTCTCCATAATTTTATTCAGTAGACTATGCACAGAGAACTTTTAAAAGTCTAATGTTCCCCAGTAATGTGTTTTATGTGCAGTATATCAATGTTGGTTAGGTAGTAACAGAATGTCATTATTTATTTCTGCCCCTTTCCTGTGTGCTTGTCAGCATGGTGTGTATTACGCTTATGGCAACTTGACATAATGTATTTTACAGAATAAGATTTGATACATTGTAATATTAGGTGCAACTTTTTATTATCGTTATAGTAAAACCTTGTTTTTGCCTTCATTTCACAAATTTCTACGTGCATGGTACGGTACTATGTCTTGCACATCAACCATAATTCAGTGCACATGTGGGACAAAATGTGATGAAATAATGAAGGTGTTAAGATTACCAAACTAGTCATTGCTGGCAGTCGGATCTGTATTAACTAGTCTGTAACTTTCATTTCACTGTATCCCTTGTACATACTTGCAAAAATAAAACGAAAATTTGACAGTTTAAGTGCCAACGTCTACTATGTTATGTTTGGATTGTTGCTGTGGCTAGAAACGTCAGATATTACCATTATTCAGTTACAAAATTAATAATTCTTTGTGACACCAATCTGATGAAGTTAAGATCGTAGTTTTTAAATATGTATTTAATAATAATAGAAGGCTTTTGTGATTGCCAGCAGGTTAAATAAATATTTAAAAGAAAAAAAAGCCAAAACTGTTGTATAGTTTGCTATGGTTTTCTCACTGAATTTTTAAATTATAGGTTATAAGAGGTTGACCATTATAAATTGGGAAACAATAATTTGCACTTCAAAATAAATCCAGCTTTGATCAATAATAGATAAATCTTAACATACCTGGTAGAGTTCAAAAAAATGCATCTAATTCATCATGGAAACAAAACTAAATGAAGGGAAAAATGGGGGCATCACTTTTCTACTATTACCCCTCCCAGAGTAAGCCCAGTCCTTTTATGGATGACATCCGCGCGTGCATTACTTTTCGCCTGTTCTAAAAAAAAAAAAAAAAAAAAAAAAATCTCTGACAAGTCTCCACAGATTGGTTTTCTGTCCGGAACTTGCCGACTCGTATTGTCGCAAAGCGCCAACTGTCGTAAAACTTATTTTGGACTACCTCAAAACCAAATTCCACGCAGTTAGATGCGTGTTACGTAAAGCGCAAAGACCTATGGGAAGGAGATTGTCTCAAAACATGCCAATTTTGTCATAAATGAATTTTGATCCAACATGGTGACCACAACACCAAAATACGTGAGCATAAAAGTTCAGAAATAAATGGGAGGGATTGTTGTGGACTGGTACGCAATTGACGTTGGCCAGGGAGATGTGACATTTACACAGCTATACGAGAGATCAGTAGCGGCAAGCGAGTTTCGCCCAGACAACTTTAAGGACATATTGTTCAGAGCTGAGAGAAATGGGAGAGGAGTGGTTGTGTATGGTGGCCTAAAAGTCGGTCAGGCGACAAGTCAGTTCGGTTGCTTTGTCTGCATTGAAGTCGACAAAACTGCAACGAAAGCTCTTCGGCCGAAGTCCCCTTTCGGGTTGAAGAAAAGTTTATTATTTTTTTTTTCATTTTCTGATTCGGATAATTTGCTTGCACACACAGTCAGTAATAATTTGATAATATGACAAATTTTCATCAAGATACATGTACATAATTTTCTGCATCCAAATTTGTGTTGACTCTCTGTTGGTGTTTATTTTTTCAATATCGAGCCTCTTTTAATTTGTTACATAGTTGAAGTAGTTCTAGAGCATTTGTGTATACACTTAGTCTATCTGAAGTGTCACTTTAAAAGCTGTAGTTTGAATGTCAAAGAAGTTTATTTCCAGGTTGCTGTTGACAAACTTATTGTTCATTTAATTAATTTTTTTTTCAATACAAAACAGTAAGTTTTTCTTTATTATTGAGTTGATGTGTATGCCATTGGCAAAGCTAACATCTGCCTTATCCTCTAGCCTTTTCAAAATCAAAGGTGATGATACCTGTGACAGTAATACAGTACAAGATGTGTACATCAACATGTGCCTCCTACAAATAAAGATTTTTTTTTTCGTAATAACAGCTCCGTAGTCCTGTGGTTTTAGCAGCATTTTTTTTTGGCAGGATTTTTTTTTCCGCCCTCTCGCATTAGTGTTGGGGTCTTCAGAGGATGTCATCCATAAAATTAAATCAGTGTGGCCTTACCCAATAGCATTGTCACATCTTTTTTTTGTTTTAGGTAGTGAAGTATGGTGATAAATCACTGTATTTAGAGGTTGTTTTAATACCGGGGTAGAATCAATATTAAAAAAAAAAATACTGGAGGTCTCAAGAGATTTCTCTAGGACGTGCCCAAATATGTTTTGCGCCACCAACGTCAAGTATGGGAGTTACTTATTACCTACTTATCATCACCACCATCACCACTGGAATCACAATGGTAACAAAACTGTTCTGCGTAGTAGCCCTTTTCTGCTCTTTTAAGAACAGTTGTAAAAACATTTGTGTGTTTTTGGTATTTATTATACTTGGTCTTATTTAACCCAACTTTTAAAAAAACATTTGTTACATATTTCACTGAATTTTGACATCAGTCTCCAATAAATCGTCATTAGTGTTGATAGTCTTATTTGATGCCTAGTCGCCAGAGAGAAAATACTTTAAAATATTGAATATGTTGTATAATGAACTGAAATATCGGTAGTAATAACACCAACGTGTATGGTCAATAGTGTTGATACTAAAGTTAGTTTTAAAAGTGTGTTCATTGATGTATTGTTGTAAAATTATCTGAGTTTGTTTGTATATTGACTTTTTGCAACATCAACTTTTGAGCTTGGGTTGGCACATCATTCTATCAAGCTATTTTCAAATCCATTCCGATATTAAAAATTCAGATCAGTGTTTCAACTTCTCTCTTGCATTAGTTTGACCGAATAGTTTTGATTTTCGCTGTGTCAGGTTCCTATTAAAGTGGGGGAAACATTACCTGCGCATATGGCAAACGACCATAGCGTGTCGCTGTTCACAAACAAGGTCTATCCATGGGCCTTTCCGTTTTATCGTCGCTTGGGACTCAAATCCGTATATGTGTGCGGTAATACTCCGTAGTTTCTTCTTCTTCTTGTAAATGTCGTTACGAGTCCGCCTACCATTGAAGAGGACGATGATTGGACAGTGCCTTCTGTGTGAACCCTTTGTCTTAAACTGATATTTCTGGTCCGAAGAAGTTCCTACACTACGACGTAATCATCCCATATTTAAAGTTTTATTTCTTTTCTTATTACCAATTTGATCCAAGTTTTTTTTATTTCCCTTCGTCAGTGAGTCCCAGTTTTAATATTTTCTAGAATGCTTAGTGATGTGTGTTTGCATCCAGGCATGTGACATTTTTTTGACGAAATAAAACTAATATAATGAGGGTGATTTATTGTAATTTCACTCTGAGGTAGAACGAATGAGTGGAGGTGGGAGGCTTTTGATAAATAAATCGAGTGCGTAAAATGAAACCTCAAATTCAGTTGTGTGCCAAAAATGACTGATTTGGACACTTATCTTTCAAATATACCAAACATATCGTACATTTTATATATGCAATCGGCAAAGTTTACTATTTACTATACTATATTGTAATACTTATACAAGCGTAGGGTGTGAATAGTGAGAACAATCTTACAAACGTTCTGTAACATTCCCTCCAACTATTTTCTACTGTTATATGAATATACTGCGCCCTCAATTGTATTATTAGGACACACCGACGTGTTCAATGTGTGTCGACGTACTACATTGTTTGTTTACTTACATTTCTAGCGCGCGCCCGAAATAAAATGAATCTTTGCGTATACCAAAAAGCTGTCAATTACTGCCATTGTGCATTATTGGTACTTTCCATTTTGTAAAACAAAAGATCACTGTGTGTCCGAATATATTACATATTTTCACATTAGTAGATAAATCAGTCAAGTCCAAGTCAAAGCTCTATGTACATGAAATGTTCACACATTTATGTTACACAAATGTGATACGATCGATGAACACAAATTTATGTCTACAATTTCAATACGTCGGTGTGCGTTGTTCGCGACGTGAATCCCGTAGTATATCCAGCGTGTATTACACGTTTCCACGTTGCTGAGCCTTGAAAGTTTAAATAGACACATGTATTTCATAAAAGTATAAAATATGTCTTGTAACTAGAGTGAGTCCTCGTGCTCTTCCTCCAACCCATCCTACGTATAACTAAAATAATGAATAAGTTACTTTGTATGATATTGTGTGAGGGCAAAGACAAACAAATAAATCCTAAAAATATATTGCAAATAAAATAATGACCCTCTCTATCAACTAACTCTACCCAGAGCAGAAAAAAATGGTGTTCTATCTAACAAATTTAGGATACATTTTGAGTATTTCTGGGTGTTATTCTTTAGCCGGTTCGAGTGGGCTAGCCTTAGTTTGTTTTTTGTTTTGTGAGTTTATTTTTATTTGGTGAGGGCGTGCTTCTTTAGCTTTGTCTATTGTGTTTTGAGTAAAGATGATTCTTTTCCTTCTATTAACTGTTGGCCTTCAGTTGTATGGACAAATGGTTTTTTAAAAGTTACGTACACGATATTTCGTAGAGATTGATTACTGTTATAGTTGCTTGGTGTCCTAGAATCACTTTCTTCATTGAGAACTTGAGTCCCGATTGTATTTTGCCAGACTGAAAGAATTGCAAGGTTATTAGCTTGGTCTTTGATATTCATTTGTGCGCTATAAAGTGTACTCACAAGTTTGCCGTTCACTTAATCAGTTGAAATGGATGGTTGGTGGTGTAAATTGTATCTGGCCTTTATATAGGATTATATAGTACGTCTATTTAAACTATTAAATCCAGAAAAAAAAATCTATAAAACAAAATATCAATTAGTTAGACATTAAAATAGGCAGTCTGATTATAACTTTTTCTATTTTGCCACTGCAAAATATATTTTGAAAATTTAGAAAACAATATATAGAATTCACAGAGAATGTTGATGAATGATGTTTTTGTAACGTTGAATTGTGTTTATGTTTCGTAATTTTAAATGTTCCACGTTACGGATTGGCCTATAATTGAAAGGCTATCATGGTTTGTGTACGTAGATTGGTTGGTTGGTTCGATATCAATGGTTCTGCTAAGTTGAAAAATAATAGGTTTTGCGACGCGGGCTATGTAGTTTTTGTACCAACAAGATACGACGAGTATTTAACTGTTGTGTGCATACAGTATAGGGAGGCAGGCGAAGATTTGAAATTCTTGGTATTCACTTTCAGTAAAAATTACGAATACAATAATTGCGAGAAGAGAACACATCGCCAGAAAAATATCATACCGCGAAGGAAAAACTCAAGAGAAAACTCAAGCAGGCAGAAAATGCAAGCAGAACAAACATGTCTGAAGAAGGAAAATATATTCGCGAGGAGAAAAAGAAAACGTATTTCGAGGAGAAACAACTTATACATCTACTAATATAACAAAGAGACGGTCTGCAACATCATTCTAATTATATTGACATGATACAATGTAAGATGCAAACTACCACACGAATGTTTTACTAATTGTATTTTTTTAAATAATCTGATGCACTGAATATACGTGATTGACGAAACTTGAAGATAATTTTTTGCTGAAGTGACCATGCCAGCACTAATCCTACATTATGATTGGTGTAATCACTGACGTACATAGACTACTAGTCTACTACAACTAGCCTTTGTTTTCATTTGAACTGTCATTGGGAATTGAGAAATTGAATGATGACTATATTTAATAAATGCACTTTCTTAACCAATATATGAATACACAACTTAAGTTCTTTGTATGATCGTGACGTATACAGGCTTAGCGCTAAGTATTATGCGTATATGAAGCCACTTAGGCGAGTGTTTTAAATTTAAACACCGACCACATGACTGACCTGTTTAGCTGATGCAAATATTATGGTTTCTGATATTCTGATATTAACACACAACTTCCAAACACAATATTGTTGCTTTTCTTATTATAACCGTTATTTATAAGTCATATATACTTACTTTAATATATCATGCGTAGACAATGAGTCTTGTACCACCTACTTATCTTATAAATTTTGTGGTTTTCAAACTTCGATTGCACGCTTACCGTTCCAATGATCATATCCCACGATTTACTGTGTTGGCTGAAAATAATTTTTATAAGTGTTATTTATCTTGCTTTATGTGACCATAGGCCTGATTGCCAGTGGTAAAATCTATCACCGTTTTAAATTGATTTGTGGTCAAAATTATTGATTCTTCAAGTTGTTGGTATCATTAGTGCTCTATTTTTAGTGGGTGTGTTGGTATGAAATAAGTACTTCCATGCGGAAAATTCTTACTTACAGAGAAGTAAACCAGTCAGAGTACTTCCATATGAAAAATTCATATTTACAGAGGAGTAAACCAGTCAGAGTACTTCCGTGTTGAAAATTGACACTTACAGATGAGTAAATCAGTGCGAACGAGATACGCATTTACATATAAGTTATTAACTGGCAAAATTAATATCATGTTTACCAGCAACACATGGAAACGATTGTAATTTTCAAATTCAATTACAGAGCAAATTTAGGTGGATTACATGATTCACAGTTTGTACCATGTTTGAACATAATTAGTTACAGCAAGCTAAATATTAAGCAAACATGCACGTAATGAAAAAAATGACCGTCATTTAGTCATAGTTATTCGAAGATAATTAATATGCACCTGCAATCAAATGTAGAACATACTGAGTGTTATTAAAATCAGCAATTCATCCACAAATCGCCAACAGTCACAAATACCAAAGGAAAAACAAGCTACAAGGTATTCGGTAAGTATTTTCGAGAAACGGGTTATTACAGCTTCAAATGTGTTTTTGTCTTTTTGAGTGAACACAAATGGCCAACATCAATTAGTTTAAATAGACATGCATACTTGTACGGATCACACACAACCATCCTAAATCAATTGACGTATATAGGTTTCCATTATGTTTTGTCATTCTACCGATCAAATCCAACTTAGTGCAGTGCGTATTTTAATTGGATTAATCCATCTTTGTGTGTTTAAAAAATGAATTTCACCTTCTCAAGTCAATCCAAATTAGAGACGCATGGGTGTATATGTATAGACAGTTATCTACCATTATGCGTAAACACAAATAACTTTACACCGATATACCCTTGTTCTTTGGTCCCAATCACAACAGAGACGATAACAGGTGTAAACAATTTGAGTTGAATGATAAGCTAGAACAGTACAATGCCATGTGACCTACTACTACGCGAACTTTCCAGGCACTTTATGAGCTGAGTTACTATTATCACTGTCATACCCACATTAATAATAATGAATGTTTTAACTAGAACAGTGTTTGTAACTATTTATGTTGGAACACTAATCTCAAATTACATATACAGAGTATTGTGCAAGTTTTCAGTATTTTGAATTTTATGTTGGGATGTGTTTGATTTATGCTTCTTGTATACATGTTTATAATACTAATTCATTTTTGCAGATTGTTAGATTACATTCATAGTTTTAATTTGGAAAGCTCATCTGAATACATAAAAGAACATGCCTTCTATTTAAGATTTGATAGTATATTGATATTTTTAGTACTTTTCATCACGCTTTTAAATAAAGAAATAAATGATAAATAAATAAATAACACGCCATCTTTGAAATGGTGACACGAAATATAAGAACAGAACATAGAAAGGAGAATGTCGGTGGAAAGTGAGGCGTTGTACTGCGTGTTGTCGCTCTTGGACCCTGATTCGAACTTTCTAATCATTAACGTCACATACCACATTCATATAAAACCAAGTATTCATGGTCAATATCACGTATTCAGGTAATAACATAGTAATAGCAGTGAAACACACCTGAGGTGAACTAATATAAGTAAAGGCAAATTACGAACAAATAAACACGCACACACGAGATTTGAGCACCAACATACTGTACTAAATCTGTTATGAAGAAGTTGCATAGAGTACAAATCACCATAATAACTGAAATAAAATCAATTTGTAATTTCACGTGTAAACGTGAAGTAACTTTTTGATGCAACGATTTTTGTCAATTATAAATAAATTGAGGTAGAATTTTTTGCCAATGAAACCAAACATATTAGATGCGATATTGACTAGCAACCACCGATAATTATTTGTAAACTGTGCACTGAATATTTGTCAGTGGGACCCTCGTTGTTTTTATTGTGTGGTGAAAACAATAGAGAACAATAAGCTATTTTTATGGAAGAACAATTCTTCATCTTCGTGTATGACATCCGTATATGAATGCTACCAAGCAACCATTGTATTCTGACAAAAAGACAATTAACTGAGTCTGTATTTGATTTGTTCATGGATTTATTACGTACATACCAACTTTTGAATTTGTAGTACGATCATAAAGTTAAGGGGGCTATAGAACAGTATTGGTGATTTATTAAGGTTCTCGTTACTTGTGGATGGGCAATGCCTGCGAAACGTTGACGCTACACTGAAGTTGCTCTGAACGAGTTAGATATGTGGAAGAGAGTGTTGCAATGGCTTGTTTCTCTGATTCTGGTACACCACGCAATGTGCGGTAAGTATAAATAAAATAACTTTGTCTTAGGAGATTTAGGTTTAGGTTTAGGTTTTTCGTAATGAATTCATGATCTTTTAGATCGAACATAAAACAAAACGTTGTAACTTTACATAAGAATTAGTGCATTATTGCTGCCACCAAATTTCGTTTAATTTATTATAATTTTTATGCTCAGAGAGATAAATGCTATCAGAGATAATGACCCACCCACCTGGGCAAAAACTATGGAGTTTAGTATAGATAACATACACATGAATTGCGAATGTGTATATTGGTTAAAGGCTGATGTGTTCGATGGACGTGACTAAACCTAGGGATTGAAGTAAATACAATATTGATTGTCCCGAAATAAATTTAGTCATTTCTGATTTTCGGTTTGGGAGGGAACATCCACAGACGATATTATAATCAGTAACCCGTTGAGTGGCTGGAATCGTATTTACATGGGACCCCCCAAATGACTTGAATTGAATGCCAGAATGTAGTTAAACGAAGCGTCCACATGAAATCTGGTACAGATTGTTCATAGTATTGTGAGTTTGTTTATGAGTAAAAACGCCACAGTTGTGGTAAGTATTTTGATAACGCGCGATTATCGACTTATAACAGGACGAATTAAGGGACTCGGAAAGCAAGCTTTGCTTTTACTATGTGCAGTATTGAATAAAAGCTCTGACATTTGCTCGTTAATACTTCTACGTGACATCGCAAAACAGTATTCTAATACGTGTAATTGCTTTTACCCGAATCAACAATGTTTAAGGCGTTATGTGTGCATCTGTCTGAAGTGCGTGCTCGGGATCAACCTAGGGCGTGGATAACGAAGATTCAAAACTTTTCTTAACCCAAATGTGACAAATTTGTAAAGAAAAGTGTGATATTTACATATCATTTGATATTTGTGTATAGTAGCATAAGTATATAAACAATTGACAGTGCTTATAATGGTAAACGCCACAGTTTTGAACAGCATCTTGGAAAAAGCAGTTGGCTAATTGCGATACCCAACATATACAACAACTAAAATGATAAAATGACAGATTTATCTAGAATTTCATTTACATTCATATGAATGCTATTATGAAAGCAATGCAATACATAGTACAGTAGCGGACTACACATATTATAATAATATATAATAATTGGTTTTATATGTATGTGGTTGGGATGTTAGAGGTTCCGCTCACGCATGTTTACCCATTCACTGAAAAGGCGTGTTTATTAGAAGCAACGTTTTGGGGTTGGTGACTGAGACATACTGAGTCGCTTTGATTTAGTTATGAGTTCAAATATCATATGTTCGTGGTCGACAGACCAACATGAATTAATATTTCTCCGTTCTCAGCACTGAATTTAGGAAATATGGGAAGTGCCATTACACTTTATGTTACTGACACAGACCCTGATGGTTTCGTAATATTCAATGATCTCCGAGCACAAGGGGCTGGTGGGCAAGCTATATATTGGTTCTACATTGGCACCGTAACTCCAGACCTGTCTCCAGATCCATATCCATTCGCAATTGAACAGGGTAAGACAATTATACGTATATTTCACGTCAACGATTCAACACAAATCATACTATCAAAATTACATCATGTATTATTCCGTTAAAAGGACCTGCTTCTTTGGAAAATACTGGTAAGATAGTTGCAGTGGTTCCCCCCGGCTTTGATCCAACCATTGGACAATACATATTTGACGTTGTGGTAGAAAACCAGGCCAATGGTGACACAGTTACTGCTGTTGTAACTCTAGAAGTTACTCTTGCTCCAGTATTCCTTGAAATCCCTGATAATGCTACCATTGGCGAGTTCGCAGCAGCGCCTCAAACAATAGCCACAGCAACAGCGATGGATGCCGACGGGCAAGCAAGTGATATAACGTTTACCATTGCTAGTTCAAATCCGATTGGTGCTCCGTTTCAAATTGGTCCAGTTACAGTCATTGGGAATAACGCGGTGCTAGGTCAGTATGTTATTTAATCTGTGCATCATTACACAAGTTCTAACTAAATGATATCTATAGGAGAAAGTCGTTATATAAATGGATGAATACATTTTGTCGAAATGGTGATATAGTGTCTTTATTTTATGAGTGATATTTATTAACATATTGATAACAATCATTTGCAGAAATCCAGAATATCGATCTCCCTGGCCTTGACTATGAAACTGGACCAATCGTTTATGAGTTAGTCATCGAGGCAGCAGATTTAACAGGGGGTACAAGAAGTTCTACATTAACTGTCCACGTTTTAGACGAAAGGGAGCCAATATTGATAACCAATTTACCAGATTCGATCGAGATATCTGAATCTGTGTTTGGGAGTATATTTTCAGCTGAGTGGGATCCACCAGACGATCCGGTATGGATGTTATCTACCTCGCCGGCCAATGGTCCATTTATTATCGACGCAACAGGTATTGTTTCTCTTCTCCACACTCGGATACTAGACGTTCACTATGTCCATTACTAAAGGCAATTATAGTCAAGTCAATAGCATAGCTCTGGCAGTATGCAATGATTCCAATGACAAACAAGAATACGTTTTTATAATGAGTGCATAATTTCTATACGGTTATTTACAGCAAGTCTCAGAAATATTGGGGCAGTAAATTTGCAAACTCGCTAGCAAATTTGTGGCGTGAATATCTTGGTAAAACGAGATCATTTTATTGTTTTTGTTCATGATTGATGGCCATAACAGGGGTTTGTATGGACCATATTTGAGTGTGCCTGATCTAATGAATAAACTAAATTTACTAATTAAAAAGTGCTAAAAATGTGCAACATTAGAAAATACACTTCTTATTTGTATGCTGCTTTCCATTGAATTAATTGCCCACTTTGCTTTGAAAATTAGAATTAACGACCACTTACTGTTCTTCTCTGTAGGGTCGGTGAGTGTAGTGTCTCCGGGATTGAGATACCAAGAGCAAGCCACTTGGGATATAACCGTTTTCGTTGGCGATGAAGAAGGATTTACAGATGATCAGGTGTTACACGTCACGTTGTTACCTAACCTAGGACCTGAAATCACCAACCTGGACGATACTATACAGATTAGTGAAATGAGTGCAGGAGGAACAGATATTTTTGTTGTACAAGCTGTGGATAATGAAGGAGATGACTTTTACTGTGTCATGTTTGCCAATCCAAATGATGGTAACTTTGGGTTTACCTCGTCCAGTAAGTATATAATTTGATATTAGAAGCCAAACTTTCAAATGCCGCACCTTTAAATTCACTATATCAAAAAAGCAAATACTGAAATAAGATTAATTTATGGGTGCATACAAGTTTCCGATCAATACATAATTAAACAGATGATATACGATGAGATGAAAGTGTAACATATTACTATACATAATACAGTTTGTCGTTACATCAACATTTACATTGCCAGAATTATAGTAACTGTTGTATGCAATTATCGCATGTATTTGCTAACAATTATCCTCTCTTTTAACACAGCTAATTCTATCTACGTCATCAACTCCCCTGTTCTGGATTATGAAACTGTGGATGAATATACCTTGAGTGTAACGTGTCATGACCTAGGCCATGCCACCATTAGTGCTGGCACACCTAAAGTATTGACTGTACAGATCACTGACGAGAATGAAGCACCGATAATAACTAACTTACCGGCGTCGGTTATCATACCTGAAGACGCCTTCAATTTGGCATCTATTTTCGAAACGGATGGTTTTGATGTCGACGGCAATCCTCTGCATTTTACTCTAACAGTTACTCCTCCCTCCGGTCAGGGGAAGTTCTCTGTAGCTGATACAAGTACGTGTTATTTGTGTAAATGAAAACTATTCACCTATAGTTGCCATATATACTATAAAATCCTCCTGCTGGATTCCAAGACACTGTAGTTTGTTTTAAAGAGCGGTGACCGTCGCTCAGCGCGACTTGTAAACAAACCATCTAAACCTCGCTATGGGGCCCGTATCGAACAGAACGCGGTGCCACGATCACGGCGTTTTAAAGCGGTGGGTTGTCAACTGCGCACGCGCGGGAATAGAGTACCAAGCGACGATAACAACACACGCTAAAAACGCTCATGGGTAGACGCTTGTTTATAAACAATGACACGCTATGGCCATCTGACGAATGCGCAGGTTACGACTCGAATGTATCGGAAAACATGAGAGTTATGTCAATGTTTATTCTTCAAATTATGTCTGTGAACAGGGTAAGGTACTGCACGCGAATGTCTGCGTTTAGGACACATAGTAAATATTTATTTATGACCACTATAAATAATTTGTGTCATTAAAATTAAAATTCCAGGCACTTGGCTGAATCAAGATGGCCGCCTTTTTGTAATTTAACGATGTGTTCGCGTAAATTATTAGTTGAAGTATCACAACCTACTGAAATTAGCTAGAGCTAATATATTGATGCAGTGATAGAAGCAACCATCGTAGATGATATATTTATAATGATATAACTATATTGTTGTGAGAAGGTAGAGAGGACAGGAAAGGAAAAGTAACCCATTTTGGCGGCACATCACGTATGCCCAGCGCCACTATATTTAGAGACTTAATGGATACGGTACCCTTTACAATTAAAGGCCAATAAAGATTTATTTTGTGTTGGGTTCATCTGCTCGATCATATATTTGCAGTCATTCAGGCAGATATAGCTACATGTTTTTTTGTTATTAAATTTCGATACTTTCGACTGAGACAATATGTTCTCTTCAGTTCTATAATTCCGGTCTAGATGCCAGTAGGTGGCAATCCTCAATGATCCAAGTATACATAGTTGGTGGTGCCTCAATGGTCCCGGTGAGCACATTGGATGCCAGTGGGTGGCTCCTCAATGGTTCTGGTGAGCATAGTGGATGCCAGTTGGTGGCTCCTCAATGGTTCTGGTGAGCACAGTGGATGACAGTGGGTGGTTCCTCAATGGTTCTGGTGAGCATAGTGGATGCCAGTGGGTGGCTCCTCAATGGTCCCGGTGATCATATTGGATGCCAGTGGGTGGCTCCTCAATGGTTCTGGGGAGCATAGTGGATGCCAGTGGGTGGCTCCTGAATGGTTCTGATGAGCATAGTGGATGCTAGTGGGTGGCTCCTCAATGATTCTGGGGAGCATAGTGGATGCCAGTGGGTGGTTCCTCAATGGTTCTGATGAGCATAGTGGATGCTAGTGGGTGGCTCCTCAATGATTCTGGGGAGCATAGTGGTGCCAGTGGGTGGCTCCTCAATGATTCTGGGGAGCATAGTGGATGCCAGTGGGTGGCTCCTCAATGGTCCTGGTGATCATATTGGATGCCAGTGGGTGGCTCCTCAATGGTTCTGATGAGCATAGTGGATGCCAGTTGGTGGCTCCTCAATGATTCTGGGGAGTATAGTGGATGCCAGTTGGTGGCTCCTCAAAGGTTCTGGTGAAATAATGGTTCTGATGAGCATAGTGGATGCCAGTGGGCGGCTCCTCAATGATTCTGGTGAACACAGTACATGCCAGTTGGTGGCTCTTCAAAGGTTCTGGTGAAATAATGGTTCTGATGAGCATAGTGGATGCCAGTGGGTGGCTCCTCAATAATTCTGGTGAACAAGGTGGATGTCAGTGGGTTGATCCTCAATGGTTCTGGTGAACATATTGGATGCCAGTGGGTGGCTCCTCAATGGTTCCGGTGACCATATTGGATGCCAGTGGGTGGCTCCTCAATGGTTCTGGTAACCATATTGGATGCCAGTGGGTGGCTCCTCAATGGTTCTGGTGAGCATATTGGATGCCAGTGTGTGGTTCCTCAATGATTCTGGTGAGCATATTGGATGCCAGTGGGTGGCTCCTTAATGGTTCTGGTGAGCATATTGGATGCCAGTGGGTGGCTCCTCAATGGTTCTGGTGATCATATTGGATGCCAGTGGGTGGTTCCTCAATGGTCCCGGTGAGCATAGTCGATGTTCGTTGTGGCTCCTCAATGGTTCTGGTGAGCATAGTACATGTTAGTGGGTTGAGCCTCAATGGTTCTGGTGAGCATATTGGATGCCAATGGGTGGCTCCTCAATGGTCCTATTTAGAATAGTGGATGCCAGTGGGTGGCTCCTCAATGGTTTTGGTGAGCAAAGTGGATGTCAGTGGATGGTAATCTAAAATGGTTCTGGTGAGCAAAGTGGATGCTCGTGGGTGGCTTCTAATTTGTTGTGTTTGAGTTTGCCCTCCCATCGACAGAATGTTTTTTGAATCATTAACAAAACGGTAACATAGGCTGCACGTTTTCCAACAGATGGCAATGATGGTACGGTATCTATATCTGATAACCCTGCGTTCGACTTTGAGGATGTAAATCAATATACTCTTGTATTGGAAGCCACTGACGGAGAGTTCACTGCAACTGGTACTCTGACTGTTGATATTATGGATGTAGCAGAACCACCAGTATTTGTGCATGATAATCAAGATGTATATATTGATGAAGAACAGGTATGTATTGCGTATTATCTATCTAATTGTACGTAGTGGCTGCGTGTATGCTGTTAATTTAACATGTTATTTAGCAATGATAATGGTAAATATAAAACATATCTTTACAGATTATTGGGACATTAATATCGCTTGACTGGACTGTTACTGACGTGGATGATGTATTAACTGATTTAACATATAATATGATTGCTGGAACCTATTCTCCATACTTCAGCTTAACTGGTGGGATCAATCCAGAATTACGTATCGCACAAGTCATGGATTATGAAGCTACCTTTCCAGTCCCATTTCCCATAATGCTTACTGTCACAGACCCAGCGGGAAAGAAAGATTACCTGACAATTAATGTATACCTTCAGAATATTTATGACAATGCACCAATTTTCAGCCAGGCAGTATATTTCGCAGATGTGTTTGATGGAGAATTGCAAGGTAGTCCTGTACTGCAGGCTTTAGCAACAGATGTGGATCTATTTGACATCATTACGTACTCCATAGAGCCAGCAAATACATATTTTGTTATTGACTCACAATTAGGAGAAGTAACTGTAAATCAACCCATTAACTCTTCAATCAGTGGGGATATCATTAACTTTACACTGGTTGCTACTGATCTGGGATCGAATCAAGACACAGCTTTTGTTCAGGTTACCGTTGCAAGTGTCGACAAAATTCATGTGATTATTGATAGCAACGATCGTCCATATTGGAATTGGGAGGTGCCTTACGATTTGGCCACCGACAGCCATGTTAACAACGTCGTCACAAATAACCAGATCTTCGGTAAGATATCAAAACATGCATAGGAAATATAGGTAATGTTTTTATGTTTTTATCTCTGTGCCGCTTCCGTTTGTGTTCTAAACTCTTCACAATTAGGTATGTATAGAGTATATATGTTATATATTTTAACTCACATAAATGCTCTCTAGACCAGCATATCCCGGGCAACATATGTGAGTCATCATCTTGTAAAAAAATGGACCGAATAAAAAATGTGATTACAATTTTCATGATAACTAGTTTCAATTGCACCAGACTCGCTACCTGCTACGCAACATTAACTGCGTCAAAAAAACGGAATTAGAAATTATGTACAGTTAACTGAGACGTAGCTCCCTTGCATAAGCTGGAGGTGATATACTATTTTTTGTACACACAATACAAACAATTTACCCGAATAAACAAAGTTGTATCGGATGATCAAGTGTGGTAACACATGTAAAACTGTATTTCAGAAAAAAGTCGTTCATTCATCTATAAGTTATATATGTCAAACACACGATTTAGAATGACGACAGATGGTGAAGTTTACGTAGCAGGCAAACTAATGGCAGAAGAAGAATACATATTAATGTACTATGTAGAAGACGAACACATACCGCCGATCAAGGCAGGGTGAGTGTACTCTCAAATAATTAACCATACTGATAGTACTTGTGGAATCATAATAAATTCATATGTTTGATATGACTACACAGTATTGTAAAGGACATGGCACATATTTCAAAATTTCATATACACAAAATAAAATAGTGACTTGGACAATCCTAGAGATAACAAACCCATCACCGATACCTGTCATACTGGAATGCATTTATATCTTGATCTTCTACATTATCCACAGTGTTTCAATGATTCGTATTGACACCTACATACCGCAGATGGTTCTTGTGGACATACATCTAGGTATTTCAATTGCTGATTTCACGACATCCAGACAAGATGCTTTTATTGCTTCCTTGAATAAACATTTTAAACCATGGAAATACAGAATATCCTCCATTCGCAGTGATATAACGGTGTCTACAAGAAAACTACTTCAAAAGTGAGTAGTGCTAGATAACTACAAGTGTCAAAATGAAGATTTATTTCAGAGGGTTTCACTTTGTCATTTCATGTACAATAAGTATGCACATTATGTCGACAATATTTTTTTCGTAAAACAATAATTTGCTATATGATACTGTCTGTATACAAAACATCAGATACCATAACACTTGTATGGCTGATTATTATCTTTTTATTTCAGCACGGCCGTCGTGGAAGTCTATGCTTTGAAGAACGATCTAACTGATTCTCAGGACAATGTTGACAAGACTAAGGAGTTTGTATACTTTGTGGATCTTACAGAGGCGATGCAAGTGGATTCAGATGGCACACCAGTGGTTCTTTTAACTGGAACAGATTTTGACGACTTCCCTGTAGAAAGTGTGCAACCAACATATGAAATCATCAATACGCATAATAGCTATAGCTGGTGGCTTAACACACCTGAAGGAAATGCTACATTGGCCATCATTTTAATAATTTTGTGTTATCTAATAATTCATATGTGTTGCTGTTTGTTTTGTTTTATCCGCAAAAGAAACCGTAGTGGTAAACAAGAAATCACTTCAAGAGAGAATGATGTTGACAAAGATCAAGATGAGTGAGTTGAAGTAACATTATCAGTACACACAATGCTACTTGTACACACCACTCTATATAGTATATCATAACAATTTTAATATTGATATAAAATAACGGAAATTAAATATAGAGGTGGAGCCAATATGGTAATATCTGGTACGGGTTTCATTCATTCAGAGCCGACAAATATTCAAAATCTAATACATGTACTTTGGCAGTTGTACACTTTGATGGTTAAGACATGACATTTCTGTAATACTTTGATGCGTATAAACAATAGAAGTAAAACACTAAATGTGAATTGTTAACGAAGCCAGTATGAAATTGATACATATAAAATGAAAATAGACATATAAGGTAAATACAAATATAATATAAACTTCGTTAATAGTGGTGAAAAGCAACAACAAAAATAAAAATGACTATATTTATTATATAAATAAAAAACAACTCAAAAATAAAATTGCAATATAATAGATATAGTAATGTAATAAATAAAAAAATTAAAAATATTTGAAACTTAAAATATTAAATATTCCGTCATAATAGCGCTTATCAGACATGTTGCACTCTGAAACTGATTACAATTGATTAATCCCCTTGTTAATAAAAAAAAACATTGATTGCGGAACAACGTCACGAAGAAACAGACAATTAAACTAAATTATAATTGAGGAGACAATTTAATCACCAATAAAACACAACTTAAACACATACGACTAGATACAAATCTCTACACACACTATAGGAACAAGCATTGCATTCAGTCCAACTGTTTTACAGAATAAATCAATCCCCTGCAACAGCCTACTATCCAGAGATCCAAGTTTTGTTGCCTGTAGGTGAAATGAGCTGCAAATTGTAAAAACTTTATCGACCATGAATTAAAATCAATTTAAACATTAGGAGAGAAAACAGCTCTAATGTATGTTATTTATTTATTTTTCAATTTCAGGTCTTCGATTGTTCATATATCAGAAAATAAAAAACTGATTGAAAAGAAAAAGCTGTCTGAAGTAAAAAATAATGTACATGGAAATCAAATGGCAGATAGGACATTGAAGAAAGAAAAACCACTGATTATACAATCTACTCCATTCTCCACGAACGAAAAACATAAACTGCGACAGGTTGCTACAGTAGAACCTAATTCGCCAAGCAAGCTAAGTAGTGTGCCCGATGACAGAAAAGACAGTGTAATAACGCCTCTGCCACTGAAATTCATGACTAGAGAATCCCATATTGCACCATCAACACATCCAAGGGCATTGAATAAAGGTAAGGTAAAAGCCCAAGGTTATGTGTGTACAAGTGGAGCCCCAAATTGGTGGCTCCACAATGTTTCATAATTTACATTAATATTTAATCGAATTTAAGTCAGGTTTGCGAAGCTTAG